CAAAATACGTCTTTATTTTTGATTTTTTCGCGTTTGTTACTAATAATGATGTGAGCTAATATTCATTCATCAATATATACCTCAGTATCTTGCTATAGAGCTTAGATGAATGTTGCTGTATATTATATGTTGTAATATGTTCGTTTTTAGTTATGTTTCTTCTTTATATTACATTTTAAGTTATTTTATAGCTTACATTCAGCTAATGACTTGGTCTGTAAGCATTGACGTGGTTGCCATAAGAAAACCAGCGAACGGTTTTCTGCGAGAAATCAAAGACATTTCAACATTTCACAGTCCAATTTCTTGAAGGTGAAAAAAGAAATATTTGTGTAAACAACTTGAAAAATTGTTTATTTTTTGTTAAAGTTAGCAATGACCGAGCTGTGTAGGCGCAAACTTTGTTGAAATTTTTAAAATTATAAAACTTGAAGAACGGTAGAAGGATATTGACCTGCCTGTAGTGCGTTTTAAAAACATAATCGACTCGGCCGACATTTGTCCGTCGCCTGAATTCGATTTAAAAACACGTAAAAACAGACTTTGGACATTCACAATTCTCTCCTTTTCTAAATGATTTATACGCTTCATTTTACTCTTATCAAACGTAAGTAATGTAAAAATATTTTCTTAAGCTAGTGCAGTGATGGATTATATTGATTGAGATCAGTCTGAAGAAAGAAAGAACATTTAGGAAGAGATTTTTTTAAAATACAATTCCACTCCTCGTTACACAAAAAGACGGAGACTGTAACGTAGAATTGGGCTTGCAACCGCCATTTTTACCATTGGGAATTGGGATTGTAGTTCCGATAATATAAAGTTTATAATAAATATATTTGGTTAACTAAACAAACGAACCTATTAAACCATTCGTTTTCGGTAAAAAGATAGCCAACTAATAATCTATTTAATTTAACTAATTTTTTTAGTTTAAAATATGTTATAAAAGAATATTGCAAATTATTTTGTGCAAAGAGGGTATTTGGGTTGCTCAAACGGAACCATTTTAATGGTATTTAGCTTATCAACTTATCAGTTACAACGTATAGTTTTTTGACCATTGCAAACGACTTCGCTTAGTGATCGTAAACGCTTTCAAGCAATGCTTGATGCATATTTCTGTTTTGCAAACACATTTACAAGCGCGCGACTTTTTTTTATTCTATGACTCGAGATATGCCGGTAATGATTTTGCATTATTGTGTTTATGGGGATTAAATGGGATTCTGAGATTTACCTAGATATGCGCATATTCTCTAACCGCGTGGACACTGAAAATATATTGCGTTATTATATATAATTACATATAAATTATAATCTGCGTCTAGAAATATATACATTGTTGCGAAATTCGCTTTTCTAAAATACGACTCGTACCACTAGATCGTGGATATTCTTTTCAAGAGAAATACACTTCAAAATTCTTTTATTTACAATAATATTTCTTAACAGTATGATTATTCACATTATCATTTATTTTGGCAGTACTCTCGACTCAAATGTTGTTGCCCGCAAGTAGTCTATATATATACATTTTTAGCAGCATATTACTATTACCTAATTTCATGGCTTCATTTTTAATCCGTTAATCTGCTTTTCCGGGAATCGTTTTCCTCGACATAACGCGCCTGCGAAAGTGTACTAGATTTTTCTCCGTCTGCTTTTCCGCTAATCTTTATCATCGACCGGCAGGTGTATGACACGCCGCGAATGTGCATTTGGTTTTGCCCCTTTAGGGAATTTATTATTCGCGAAAATTAGTTACCTGGAATGAGCTGGATTTAGGATTTCCGTAACAATATAAAGTCATCTATAGATTTGCAAATTCTAAACGAAAAGTGAAAGGATTTCCTTCCGTCATGTGTCTTGGAGATTTCATATATCCGATGCATCTGTAATAACCGACCTTTTTGCAGATTTTTTTGGGGAACTCTATCAATGTTCAGATAATTATCCGTATTGATAATTATCCGTATTCGATAAGCTCCTTTGGTGTTTTTCCGTCTATGTCTTTCTCTCAAGAAGAAGTATTTATAGAATTGTCTACATTGAAACCTTGTAGTTACATTGGTTCTGTTGGCCTTCCCTCTGCTATTCTCTAACATCCTGCTGATTTGATATGTTCTCTCCATTTTCACATGTTTTTAATGTTTATTTGAAAAAAGACTTTGCCTCTTCATAAAAGCGGTTTTTGGAAGCTTATTGAGAATTACAGGAGAATTGCCAGCTTAGTCCACTGTCGAAACTATTTGAATCACTGGTAACAAGAAGGTCTTAGGGTCAATTATATCGCACTGTAAGTTTATTTTTTTAAAAGGAAGATCAACGGATACTGATCTTTTGGGGTTTAGTAATACAATTTACAAGGCATTTTTCGAACATAAACAAAATGATCTTATTTTCGCGGACTTTTCCAAAGTTTTCGACAGAGTTGATCATAGGTTATTAGTCTAAAAATTAGGTCGCCTTGGTTTCTCCAACAGTATTATTACTTGGTTCAGTAGCTATCTCGCTGGCCGGATCCAAGGGGCGAAGGTGAATTCTTTCCAATCCAGAGTTTATCCAGAGAGTTACCGTTTGTACATTATAGGGGATATGGTATCACTTTGCTTGATTTAATCTTAAAACGATTTTTAGGTTCCTTCCAAATATAGAAAACTAGCTCCTTGCTAAACAAGGAAGAACATTACAGTTCACACTGCCACAGGTGGTCCAAGATAAAATTATGGTCTACAGATGGTAAAATTTTGGGAAGTGGATCTTCAAGTCTGGTGGCAAATTTTTTCTTGAAGATATATTATACTCGAAAAAATTAGCGCACGTCTACCGAACGCCGTTTATAATGAAAGTGTAGTCCATTAATATACCCATGAAGTGCGCTAATTTTTATAGAAGTATGAATTACGAAATCTACAACGCGATATACGACACATATCAAATAAATGATTCTAGATTGCAGTTAAATATATAATAATATTAAACGAACGATCTACGATGGAATATTAAACAAGTCGGTTCCAATTAATTGGATTAGAATTTTGTCCCATTTTATTACTTTCAACTACTTGTGGTATACGTACGTATGTAACACGAAGAAGGGCTTAAGATAGACCCACATTTTATTATACTAATCGATTCGGAATCATTTTATGAATTTAAGTCTGTCTGCCCGTTTGTACGTCTGATGTTTGCCCATGTCAACTTGTGTTCAAACTACATGTTCCTATTTTTCAGATATTTTGATAAAATTTAGTACACTGATCTGTTTTAATCCAAGTACGAACACTATTGAAAATGGTGCGTATCGGTGCACTTTTTCTAGCGCTCCACATATAACGTCTTATTTTAAATTATATGGAAAAAAATTCAACTTTTCAAAATATCTCGACAAAAGTGGATAATTAATAGTATTCATTTGGACTAGCTGGAAGAATTTTATGAATTTTCACTTATATGACGAAGAAAGCAATTTGAAGTTCATATGACAAAAATGTCTAATTTTCAATGCTCCATGGTAAAATCAAATCATAATAATAATTTAAGCTAAAAAATTTAGCAGTGTCAAATTTGGGCCATCTCGACATATTTTTCGGATTCTACCCTATTTGTAGATTTTCACACACAATGCCACATTCGAATATGTTATGATGAAACTTAACCTGTAATCGTAATTTAAGATAAAAAAGCAACTTTACCAAATTTGGATGACCCACGCCTATATTTGGATTCTACCTTTTGTAAGGATTTACATGAAAATTTTTGTTTTTTAGGACAGGGGAAAAGTTTAAGTTTTAATATTTTATAGTGAAATTTAACCCATAATAGTAGATTGATACAAAAATTAACTACGCTGAATTTTGAATACGTACCACAATTTTTAAACCCCTTGGTCACAAATATTCTTACAGAGAGTATGTCTTTATTTGCAAAGGAGTCTAATTTTTAATACACAGTTCGATAATGTAAGTATAATTTTTGTGCTCTATGACAAAAATAAGAAGTGTGTGAGAAAATGTGGTGCAGGGCGTTTAGAAGTTGATCTAGCCCGGCCATAAATTTTGTAAATATAATAAAACCTACACTACCCTAAAAGTCACAATTCACTGATATAAACTTATATCAAAAAGAATTGAATAAATACGTAAAATCACAAAAGACGTTTTACGTTACACTTCTCTTTAGGTTTTCAGTCGCCTCTCGCAAATTGCAAAAGTAAGAAGAAGACAACTCGCTCAGCGATATTCATCGTTTTTGTTTTTTTTTTTTTTGAAAAGTAACGACAAAACTAAATAAAACTCTCATTAACGCGCGACGCTAGTGTATGCAGGTGAGTCGGCGACAAGCGATAAGGAGAATGAAAAAAGCATGTGGTGAATAACAAAAGGTAAACCAAACATTCTTACACATGCATACAAAAAAGTAGTTTAAGGCAGACAAAATTTTAAAGATACCTTTGTTGTTTCTTATTATCTTGCACTAGAAACAGGTATACCGAGAGTATTAGTGTTAGTAGACAAGGCATCATTAGCGCGGAGTAAGAGTAAGAGTTGATAACGCAACACGCCGCTTAAATAATGGAAGTTTCAATAAGAAATGATCTTAAGCGAAGTTCGAAAGTAAGAAAGAGATAAACAGTTAACAATTTCCTTTTTGAAGAGAGCTGTGGTGAAAAAACTCCACTCAAAAGTAGTATTATTGTGAAAGAGTGTTTTATTGAAAAAGATTTAAAGACTTAGGTGGGTTAGGTAGATTGTCATCGAATTTACCTGTTTTCAGTCAGGTGTGTTTGCGCATCTAAGAAGTGTCATTGAAAATTCTTTTCATTTTTTCACTTAAAGTAACCAGAGGGAAAGCAAGAGTGTAAGAGCATATAAAAATCTATGGTAATTAAGTCAAAAAGCAAAAAAAAAGTGTTTATGAAAATGTAAAAAGAATTTCTAAGTGCAATACCTGTACGAAAGAAAAAGGAAAAAGAAAGGAAAATACTCATTAAAAAAAAATGTGAAAAAGAAAAGTAGACACGAAAGTGTAAAATGAAATTTTAAAATAAATTTTAAAAAATGTCTCAAATATATGTTTGGTGGAGTAAGTGTTCAGTGTAACAGAATATTGAATTCCAAAATGGAAATTGTTACCAATTTAATTAATAAGAATTTTTATATGTATGTTACTGGTTTATATCAAAAACGCGAAATGGTACTTCTCGCGCTCACTCTATCTTTCTCTCCCTCTCTTTATTGCTCTCTCTGTCAGTGTCTCTGCAAACAACTACATTACAATAATCAATAGATGTGTAGTGAAGCCCGAAAGGTGTGTGTAGATGTGCGCGATGCATATGGGTGTGGATTGCTTATTCCGTGATTCTGCAGTTTTTCAAGTATATATGTTCAAAATCATCAGCATCGTTGTTATCATCATTATCGTGAAGACGATAAAAGACGATAAAAACGTGAATTTTTTGTTCGCGCCTTGAATGCTTTGTAAAAGAAATAAAAAAATAAATAAATAATATACTAAGAATAATAGAAAAAAAAAGAAAAGAGTAAAAAAAAAAACACAAACATACACAAACAAACTAACCAACAAAGTAATTTTATCGAAAAGAATAGGCACAATATAAAAAAAAGAAATAATTTAAAATGAAAGAGAAGAAATATGCTAACAACTATCACCAACGAAGTCACGTTTGCGACAAATATCGTTTAGTGTTACTACAGCCCCGCAATAATAGTCAACTTCCAGCAACGTCATCATCGTTTTCATCATTATCATCAGTAACATCATCGCCATCATCAGTTTTATTGCTTCTCAAGTTTTTTTTTCAGTTTCTTCAACTTAAGCGGAAAGAAAAAAAAAAAAGAAAACAAAACAACAATAACAACCTATCATTGTGATCGTTGTTATTGCAGTGGTTCAGCATCAACAACCGTTTATGGCTGAGAATCTACTTTGAAACGGTTGAAACCAGAATATACAGCTAAAAAAAAAAAAACGAAAGAAAATAAGAACGACTTACTCTATTCACAATGACAAATAACCGAAGCGTAAAATATCAAAAAGGCTTAGCAAATATCGGAATATATTCGGATAATAACTTTTTGTTATCCGTAACTCTTCGTATTAATATCAGAAAGTTTTCATTACTAGAAAGTAGAATTCTTTGGATCTTGACTTCATATAGTAATTAAAAACAATGTTTTGAAAGATGGTTTCGATTCGTTCGTATTGTGTAGCGACTCGAGGTTCACTTCTCCTTTTCCTGGAAATTTCTTATTTAATTTAATGAGTAAAACTTAAGTTTCAATTATTTTTTATTGGTATATCTCATATCTTAGCTGATATAATCTCTAAAAAAGATTTGCTTTAGACCACGAATATGTTCTCCAGAAATTACACGATTGTTACCCAGGAACACAGAGGACTGTTTATTGGCCATTTCAAAAAAGTGTGTATGAGTCGGTACATTGCGGCCGAATTACATTGGATTTGCCATTCCTTTTGTAAGATCTCTAAATGATTTAGCTATGTGTGTCTGTTCCCTTCCTTTGTCGTCGCAAAAATTATAATGGGAGCGAAAATTTTAAAATATATGGTCATAGTCAGCACATTCCTTAGTAGATATACCGTTTTCAGCGCACGCTAAGATGTTAGAATTTAAATATTAATTATTACTAACACTATTTTATGCAATGCAATGACGTTTGCAAATCTATTTTAGTCGCTTCTCGATTAGAAGAATATTTCGCGTCGTACATATTTTTTGTTTTATGGTATTTCTTTTATGTAAATTTGTTGTAAATACGAAAAATACACATTTCCTATTATAAACGTAAGCAAGTAAAATAATCATAATAAAACGGGGCCGGCTATAAGATGCGCTATCATGCAGCTGTTTATTTCCACCTATTATATATGAATACTGACATTCCATATCCGCTTGAATATAAGAGTGGGTTCAAATTTCCAATGCAGTAGAGTTAATTTGGTCGTAGCTGTAGCGACCAGCAGTCACCGTGTTCCAGGACTAGAGGACATTCCCTGAGCGATTAATCATATTAAAAAAATAAAGCAAAAATGGAGTAAAAACATTTCAAAATAAGGCATTATAGGGGAAGTGGTCATCCTTGAACCAAAACAAATGAGTGTAGCAAAGCTCATCAAAATATATTAAAAATTGCGGCGGGTATGCTAAATACAAAGAAACAAGACGCAGAGACGGATAAATTTCCATCCAATTTTACGGCTGTCGGCTTTATCAAAACTCTACCGCACCTTAGATTTGAACTCATGACCATTGAGTTGTATTTGGGAGTTACTCAAGTACTTTGATGGTCTAACTCAAGTCCTTCTTCTCAAGTCCTACATCATTGCATTCAAAATTGCTAAAACTGGGCTTTCATGTACCAAGATGCATTTACGTGTTGATGCCCCCAATAGGGAGAGTAAATAAATCTAAATAGCTGCAAATATTTATCAAGACCATTCACAGTTCCAAAGCAAAAATGAGCCTTTACTTTCAAACACGCACAGCAATGAAAGAGTTAACTGCGTCGATCCCTTTAGAAAATGTCCATTTAAATTGCGTCGCTAAAAATTAGCGATGACGAGTATACTCGCCTATACGGAATGTGTGTATTATGAAATTAGTAATGAAATAACTTGATAAAATCACCTACACACATTTTAGTAAAATAACTTTTTTAGGTAGTTACACAGATAGTAATACACTTTCAAAGTATTCGGTTGTGTTACAGTAGTGATACGTAAGTACGACGTGGGAGTTCAAAGAGGTCATGTAAGACCTATTTTATTTCTTTAGTTTTTAAGAAGAGCTGCAGAAGCACATAGAGCACATAGTGCCATTATTGGTTTGCGAAATTTCAGTGAAAGTTTTACCAAGTTCTGATCGGCTAAATACCATTGATGATGATTATGATTGAAGTTGATTGGCACAACGAATCGCGATATTACAGAAAAACTTAACTCATCCAAGACAACAAGTTTATTCCTTATATAAGAAAAATTACTTTAGTTCGTAGTTCAAAATTGCAAGAAATTTTCGGACTATCTAATAAAATACATTATTGTTGCAAATACACATTCATAATGAAACTTTTTGAAGAAATGCGTTCAGGATGGATGGAGGGATCGTGACCTATATATTCGTCATACCCAGTTAACTGGTTAAGAGATGTTGGTTGTCCTAAAGCTTAATACAAATATATCCAATAGCTTACATGTTCATTTCAGTGATAATATGACTGCGTCAGAGCACTTGACCCGTCTGTAAAAAACGTACAAAGTCGATTGTGGATTGCCTTCATGAATTATGAAAATGACCAAAAGTGGTATACATTTATTATTATGTAAAATACTTACGCAATTTCTAAATCGCTTGACGCAAAATTACTTAATATCAAAATAAGCACAATTGCCGCACAAGAAATGCCATAAAAAAAGAATAAGTGTTTAAAAAGAAAACATTTAAGTGAAATTTTAAGTTATTTTCACGTTTTGCTAAGTTATAAAAATTTACTTCAAATCATATAATGTTACAGAATTTATTCGCTTAGTGAAATGTATATTTTTGAAACTTTAGTTTAAATTTGAATTCGCTACACAATCCGTAACGAACGTAAATAAAACGAAAAAAAATACCTAAAATCTGAGATATACATAAACTCGTACTTGTGTTCATGCAAACATTGATATATTGATATAACTATATGTAGTTAATTAATTGGCTACACATTCATATATATATCAATTTTTTTTTATGTATAAATAAAATAGCCTCGATGACACATACGCGAGGAATGGTAAATGTATTGCAATGATCTGAAAAACGTAATGCACAAGTTTGACTGTGTATTTGATCGAATTGACGTTTACGAAAATAAAAAAACTGGTTGCTGTTATTACTGTCACTGTCGTTGCTGCTGCTGCTGCTGCTGTTGCTGTCTCTGTCAATTTCTTGTTTTTCAACAAAATATTAGCAAAGTTTTAAGTAATTTGAAATTATATTTCAAAAATAAAAAAACTATTGATTTACAATAAACGACGACGGCAACGTCTAGTCTCGTCGCAAATTCATGTTTTTATCATAAATAATTCGTTGAAGTAACCAATCAAGCGATTCCTACACTTGAATTAAAGTCAAGTTGAATAAGTGGCTCTGTGTTTCAGTAAACTTGCATATTTTTTTGCGAATGTGTGCGTTTGTTTGCATTTTTCAAGTGACCACATTAACTTAATCACTCGTCGCAGTCAGTTATCGTATACTGATAATAATAAGAGAAACAAAAAAAAAGAAGAAAAATATTGCTCTCACTGCGTGAAATAAGCTGTGCATTTATACCAGTTTTATTTTTTTAATGGCCTATCAATGCATAGGTGTTCGTTTGACTTGTGCACACGTTCGATTGTGTTTGATTAAAATATTCCTGGTTAACATGAATTTTTGTTTATTATTATTAAAGAGAATTTTTCTTTTTTTTCTCTCCTATGCATACAATACAATATGTGAAAAACAAAAATCGTACATTCATACATAGCATAGACGTACCTATATGCGGTTGCTGTTGCTTTTTCATGCGTGGTTTTACCTTTTTCATGTTTTTTGTGCATACACGTTAAAAACTTGGAGCGACCACATTCTTTTGGGAGACTGACTCCATAATGGTCATATCATGATATAAACATGCACACACACATGCATGCATACTGTACTCATGCATTTATGCTCTTACAAAATGTTTACTCATGCATTCGTCGGCAATTATTATATATATTTCATAGTATACACACAGACACACAATAAAACTTAAAACTTGTATCGCATATATTGTGTTTATTTGATTTTCCTCCCCACTCAATTATTGACTCTTTACACTCATACCCTCGTGCATAGATACATATAAACGTACACCCATACAATTATTTGTAGAGCTGAGCTCACTTTGAAGTCTTTGACTGTTGGTTTATTCATTCGGGTTATTGCAAGCTTATGTTTGTGTGAAAAATGTCGCTTGACAGAAATTGGCGGTTTTTAGAGTCAAAAAAGAAAAAACAAATATAAATAAAAATCGAAAACGAAAACGAAACTAAAACGAACTAAACACTGAAGTATTCTTTAGTGAGATCTCCCTGTGAACATATTCATCAAAACATAAAAAATAAAAATGAAAAAGTGTTTGTATGATGCGTATTATGTTATATCAAAAAAGTTTTGTGAATTCGGGTGCAAAAAATGTCACAAATCAAAAGATCGGTTTATTCAAAAGTATGTAAATTTTCAATCGGGAGAATAGTACGCTACCACGGTATCAATTGTTAAAAACGTGTGTGTATTACATTTTACGTCGTCTAAATTAACTCGTTTGCTGCAGCTGTTTTTGTTAATTGAGAATGAATTTATTTTTCAATTTTCGCTTTAAATAAAAGTTGTAAACAGCATTGTGAAGATCTTCTGAGGAAAATGTTAAATAAATCAAAATAACAGTACACTTGAGGTTCGAAGATTAATTACATCTCTGCATTGTCGATGCATTTTGATGGGTCGTTTTAAGTATTTATCTCGTCATAGTTGTTCTTTTCATTAGGAGACTTAAAATATTTGAGAAAATACAAGTAATAAACTTATAAAATAAAGGAACAAACTTGCACAGATGAAATCATGAAAAATATGCAAAAGTGTATTTCATGATCAATTTCATGATGTCCTTGTCGAATTTCCTCATAAAGTTTTATCGTTATGAATGTGCTTTTGTTGCAGTAATGTATTTTAGAATGTCTGCATGTTATTTTCTCAAGTTATTTCGTTACAAGCTAATATCGTCTTACACGTTCTCTGTGTACGATGAGTTTACTCGTTATTGCCAAATTTTTGCAACGCAAATTAAGTGCACACATCTCGAAGAGGTCGACATAGTTAACTAGTTAACAATCGTGGTATCTTTTTTTCGTGAAAGTCAATCGACAAGCAAAACATACTATATCACAGAATGTATCATCGAAAAGGATCTGATTTGTGACCAAACGGTGAATCCATGCAGAGAAGAAGAGGAAGAAGAAGTTTCTGACCGTAAATTCCTTTAAGCAACATGTTCATTACAAACTAGTCGCTTTCCAATTTTTTTCAAAGTTAATTTTCAAAGATAACTTGGGCTGATTAAAATCGTAGAGGAGAAGCCCGATCCCGAAAGTTTGCTACAGAAACTTTGATACTTAGTGTAAATTTCGACGTGATGGTTTGTTTAAAGTGGAAACTGCAGGGTTTTGGAAAAAAAGATATCTCTTTAAATTTCGTGTCATATTTGCGCTGCTAAAATGCACAGCGATTACTGTGGTGACATTTAACAAATAAATACTAGAAGGCTTTCAAATACGGAACGACACATATCTGCAGAGAGCGTTGCAATAGCGAAAAAAGTATAACTTTTCACGATTTCGAAATCAGTAGTTAGACGCAATCTTATTGGTCCCGACCCAAACTGTCGCATCTATTGCTTCAACAACTGAAGAGAGAAATAGTCGAACAACTTTTCCAAATCTAAATCAACTGACAGTTAGGCTAGTTCTCACGGTGGCGTACAGTTGCATCAGAGTTTTTCGAGGAAGGGAGGAGGAGCGCTTTAACACTTTTATGTCAGTTTCGCTAAATTTATTGTAAAGATAACTTCATATGGTTAAATGCGAGAGAAAAGCTTCTTTAATATATCCGGCGTCTCTATACATATGGTCTATTTGCACAAATGTTTGACTTTTACGTTTATACCATAGGGATTGATTCTGCAATCAGTACTCTTTTAAAATAAAAACTTCACTTTCTAATCCTTGCATCAGCGATGGGATTGTGCCAGGCGTAAGCTTAGTACATCGAAAAATTGCAAAGGAAATTGAAAAATAATTACATAAATGGAAATAAATAAAAATGAAAACTCGAAAGCCTTTTTAGCTTCCGACAATTCTCATGACTTTTTTGATAAATGTGTTCGCACAAATAAATTAATAAATAAAAAGAATTTAAAATCAATTCGTAAAAATAATTACACTATTTTCAAATCACATAACTTTTGTAGGTAAGAAAAAAAAAGAATAAGAGTCTTTCTGCTCTAAGCTCAACTATGAGAAATAACATAGAAACAATAATAATTCAATATTAAAGGTTGCGCATGCGCAAACGTGACTTGTATAAAAGAAATTGTGAAATCGATTCTTTTACCATTTGAAAAAGAATACAAAGGAAAACAAGACAGATAGCTACGGCATATAACTTATTCTAATAATAACTTATTTTCCCTGAGAAAGAAATTTATTACATAAATTATTTATAAATACATATATAAAGCAACGGTGTTCACATTTTTTACACAAAAGAAAGAAAAAACACAAATAAATAAATAAACAAAAACAAAGATCGTTGACTGTGCATTCAACTTGGTGATGTAAGGTCAGTAACATTTTTTTTAAATATTCTTTTCTGCTCTCTTTTCATAACTTTTTCATTTCCCTTATAAAAAGATAACTTAAAAATCATCATCACTATCATTATATATATATATATATATATATTATATATATATTGTTTTTTTTCTTAATTAATTCCAAATGAATCTAAACAATCGCATAGGTATGTTTCTGCATGGTTCGTTTGTTTGCTTTGCATTAATTTATTGTTAGAGAAATTCTTTATTCCACCCGTATTTGACTTTATCCTTAAGTTTATATTGAAATTAGTTTAAAAAACATTGACTTTAATGGTAATGACAATCTTATATGATTTTTTATCTTATGACTTCGTTGGAATAAAAGCGAACACAAGAATTTTGATTGCCTAACAGCTTAACATTTAATAGATGATCTATATTTGCTTTACCTGTTTCTCCGTTATGTTATGCCTTAATATTTTGCAGCATGAGAGTGGTTCATCGTTACCAAAAATTCGATGCCAAAAACACACCTTTTTGTCATTATTTTGTTTTTTCTCTTATTTCGTTGAATTTTCTTTAGAATTTTATTTTCACAAATGCCTCAACGAATATATACTTACGTTAGAAAAATTTACATTCTTTTCTTTCTTCATAGACAAGGGCAACCAGCAGTTTAGAATAACAAAGTTTTGTATCCACCGTAATTGGATTAACGTACGTATTAAACGTAACGTAAGGCATTAAAGATTCCACAAAGTTTTTATTGGTATTAACAATTAACGTAAGATTTTGAGGAGTATATAATTCAATTCACCTCTGTAACGTCCATAACAAAGACAGATGGCTTTAAGAGTTTTGCGTGAGTACCGCTATGTACCGCTATTATGGTGTCCGGTAGAACGCGAGTTAATTTGACGCGAGTTAATTAGCATCCTCCAAGGAGTTGGACAATCCCCACTGAAAGGGGCTCTACGACTCTCGGAATTTCAAATGATTGAAAGGGTATGACCCAAATTTCTTCAGCTTTGTTATCGGGATAACCACAGCCACCACGGGCCGTAATATAATGGGAACTGCCTCACAACTTTAGGAGAAATTCTACTATAGTTATAATCGAATTTTTAAAAAGCTAAGAAGCCTTGCCGCATTGGTCGTTAGTATTTTAGCTTACATTATTACTGTTACTGTTAATTAAATATAATAAACAAAATTGGATAATACAATGAAGGCGGGCGTACCACACGACTTCATAAGTGATATTTATTGATTTAATTATTTTACTGGGAACTAGTGTGGCAAATCTAATAGGTTGCGGGCAGTTCGACAGAAATCATGTAACGAAATTAATTTTGGTGTCAGTTAATGGCAAATGACGCCGTCAAAAACTTATCGTCACCCGAGGAAATCCAGACATGGAGTACGGCATGTCTGCAGGTATTTAAAACGCAAATTCAAATTTGGTACATATATTTTAACATATAAGTATATGTGATGATGTAATGTTATAAATGCAACCTCATATTTCCTATTTATATTTTCTACTAATATATATGTAAATATATCTATAATTATTTATTTATTATTACCGTTATAATTTATTTAGACCAAAGGAATCAATTCTAGGATTAAAATTAGGATGAGCATTAGCAACCAAGACTATTGATTTTTTTTTTTTTTTTTTATAAAGTAAACTAGATCATTAAGCTAGTTGCCTTAACAGAGTTAAACATTTTATTGGTATTAAGTTCTCCAATAAGTTCATGGGTTTAGACATGTTCACAGAGTTAGGCAGGTCGTAAGCAAATTTTAATTTATTGGAAACGTCTTAGCGTCACAACGTGTACGTTTAATCGTAAAATTTTGATCATAACTGTAAATTGGAACGTTAGATTTCTTTAGGATCCGTTAATGCACTACAGTAATATGATGAAAGCGAATTATTGCAAATATTGTGATCTTGATTTTCTTCTTCATTGCTAGAATATAGTGTTCAATTGCGGTTAGGGATTGGACTAGTGTATGTACCATAACACTGTCCAGTTTTTTCTCAAGTTTTTTCTTAAATATTTTTCTAACATAGTTTTGAATGTGAATGATGCCGAAACCACGAATTTGTTTGCAAGGTTTGCTCGTTCATTTCCCAAGAAATCAGTTTGATCCTGTATAGAAAAATTTTTATGTAGTCTCCGTATGTGCCAATGGTAATCCCCTGGGTTTTTCACCTAAAATTTACATCGCATAGGATAGTAATTACAACACGTAACTTTTAAATTGTAAGAGTTTGGCGAATAAATGCATTTCAACATGTACCGACAACGGTATACACCGCAAGTAACATTGACAAAGGATATATGTGCTAAATTAGAATTGAACAACTGAATGCCTAAGTTTTGTAATTGTAATGAATATCAGCCACAGGATATTCTTATCTTCATTTTTTCAGTTGGTTAGCTATGTTTTTCACGGATTCGCTTTATACGCCAACTTGCTAAATTGAAAATCTTTTAAAGTTTTTGATTTCCACTTCAGCACGCACAAACTCTTTTTCGATTTCTCGCATATTCGCTCGAGATAGTTAAACGGAGCAGCAAACTGACAAAATTATAGTTTGCTAAGCCAACCCAAAACCCAAGTTAAGCAATTGCGTGACTTTTGTATATATTGTATACAAATATTTATATTATAAGTGCCATAAATGGAATAATACTATTCCAAAAAAAAAAAAAAAAAAATTTAACAAAATTTGCGAAAACATTTTCCATGCTAGTATTGTAAGCCCTATTAGTATAACATATCACATACTATGACATTATTATGAATGCAAATCTTCAATGATTTGGATGCCAAGAGCTGAAATAGGTGGGCAGCGCATGCATGCATCCAAACGTACAGGGGTGTATAAAGCAAGGGAAATATAGAGAAAACAGAAAATCAATGAACTTTGAAATTCAATGCGTATATTGCAGGACAGGATTCATTTCTTGTCGCTAGATTCAACATTTGTGCAGATATAACAAACAAACAAAAAGAAAAATCAACATATACACGCACACTCACCCAGCTAAGTATGTCAATATATTGGAATGGAATTATTTAAAGGAAAGTGGGTGCAACGAATACAGGCACATATACACACCCACACACCCATATGTTCGCTGGTATGAATTTATGAGCCGGCTTAGTTTGACTTGGGGAATCTTTTCCAACGCATACTTGCGTTGGTGTGTGCGTGTGTTTTCTTTTTCCTTATGATTTTGATTATGTGTCACTGTTTTTGAAATTGTATTCGCTTATACATGTCAAAATATCAAAAATCTCTCATGTTTTTTGTATTGAGTTAAGAGGGAAAAGAAAGCAAAAGCAACACATGTTTGCTTACATTTATGGCGCTATTCATATATACATACGTGCGTACATATGATATATATGTATATTTATATATATGTATGCATATCTCAGGCAGCAAGCTGTCTGCTTACGCCCCCAAAATTAAAGATAGTTTTTATTTTTCTTTTTTTGTTTTGTAAACATAACATATCCATAATCTGCACAACGCTAGCGCTATTCCGTTGCCAGTAGCGTAGTAGACCGACTTTGTATTTATTTGTTATGCATGCAAGAATTCTACCCTCCTTGTTGTTAACTCTTTTACGCTTGCTTTAAAGTTTTTCCTGTAAACAGCTAAATAAATTTTATGCGAAAAATTTGTTGGAAACTTTTTGCTTTTTTTCTTTGTGCTCGATATGTCTACGTAGGCATGAAAATAGTTCTCCCTTAAAGTTGCTTGTTTTAGTACAATATTTGCTTATGACTTTAAGAGAAAAATTCACTTGTAATTTATTGTAATAAGGACCTTTTCTTCTTCTTTTTCTCGATGTTCATTCTTTTTACGAAAAGAATAAAAAAAAACTCGAACAAGTATAAAATATACTTTTCATTGAAATTATTTAAACCCGTATATGTGGGGGATACATGCGAATTGTATGTATATATGTGCGTTTATAAATGCATACATGAGTAGACACTCTGCTTGTTTGCTTTACTAAATTACAAAGGCTTACGAACAAAAAATATTTATATATATATATATGTATGAAGTAGTCTTTTAAGTAACGGGGTTAATAAATATGTACATATTACGTACATGCATTTAAATATAACATCTGTGTATGTGTAAACGAGCTAGTTAACAGGGTATACACCTTTTTTATGTGTTATTTATGTTCCTTAGGGCGAAATAAGAAATTTTGGAAATCATATAAAAATATATACATTTTTTCGGTCAGCTTGGAGTTGTAAGAGAGATTGGTCAGGTCGCTGCGACGGGATATATTGAAACAGATCCTGGTTTCTTCGCGCTCGTCCTATTACGCATTAGCACAATCTTTTCGGATGGCTTTTTCGGAGAAGGAGCAACTTGACTTTAGGGTATAATGATAGGAGTTTGCTTTGTCGATATTTTCCCTTCAGTATGTCTAATATCATGGGTGTCAAAGAGTTTCTAATGTGTTTTGATTGTGTGTTGCCGTAGGGAAGAATTTTGTTGGCTACGTTTCATGGAAGGACCGCTACGCGCCAAAGTGTTGTGTGACAATTCAGTTGGGAACCTAATCCAAAGACACGAGCCTCCCACTGATTAGAAATGTATTACTGAGCTGGAAACGTAGAATAACTTCAGGCTAGGGAAGCGACTTTACTTTGAAGCGGAATTGAGTAGCGTAATAGTCGCTTCATGAGACATCGCATATCGTTGAGTTAAGCCTTAAAAAAGGAGATATCTTTGTTCGAAGGACATTATCGGCTTTCTTATGTTTATGCATATATAGCGCATGTAACATAGACTTATTTCATCTGCTACTGCTTCGTTTTCTTACAATATCTTTGCTAACATTGACAAAGAATATACATCACATGCGAAATCTGTGAAAAAACATTTCTATGCATTACAAACATTTTGCACTTATATAAATATATCAACTGTTGAGGATCTACGTAAGCGTAATGATATTTGTTTTAAAAT